TATTGTATCAACCTCGAAGAAGTTAAACTGGCAGAAACTTTACAGTCTATTTCATACGTTTTATACAGTGTATAACCAGATAGTGGACCTGCTTAAAAACTATGTAGTAACAATCTGTATGGGGCCTGTAAAAAAATCAGAAGTGGTTAAATCGCACCGCAGTGTATAACCAGATAGTGGACCTACTTAAAAACTATGTAGTAACAATCTGTATGGGGCCTGTAAAAAAATCAGAAGTGGTTAAATCGCACCGCAGTGTATAACCAGATAGTGGACCTGCTTAAAAACTATGTAGTAACAATCTGTATGGGGCCTGTAAAAAAAATCAGAAGTGGTTAGATCGCACCGATGAAACAAAATTTAAAATATAAAGTAAAACAAAAATTAAAGCTTTCCGGGTTTCGTGTTCGATTTGAACAAGAAATAATCATGAATATTTTTTTTTAAACGGTTGCAACTTTATTCGTTTAAACACTTTAAAAAAACAACATCTAATATTTTTCATACTTCACTGTGTGATCTTTATCTAAACCATTAATTGACAAAGGTCTGTGTGTGTGGATCCGCCTATAACTGGCGAACCGCAGAATCGATTATCACCAAAACTGGTGCCCCCCAGTGGCACAGCGGTATGTCTGCGGACTTACAACGCTAGAAACCGGGTTTCGATACCCGTGGTGAGCAGAGCACAGATAGCCCTTGTGTAGCTTTGTGCATAATTAAAAACAAACAAACCAAAACTGGTTTGTACTTTTAAAGCACGGGGGAGTAATATAAGGGGATCGGCGTTTGGATCTGACCCCCTTATCCCCCGGGTCCCCTATATTTTCCCCGTGCGGTACGTCAGTTAGTAGTATATAAGTGTCGCTTATCAATTTATCATTTACTAACATCAGCTCTCCTAACTGTATGATGATCTAGCACAGTGTCCTGTAGACATGTCTCTCTGTGAAAACTAGAAAAATAGAGGTCGCTCATTGTGATTATTTTTATTATTTCAGATTCATTTCTAAGGCTTTCTCCTTTGATACAAAGCTTAGACCATTCAGAGGAAGACGAAAAAGGTAACGAAACGTCCTTTGATGAAATCGCAGGTGAAACGGGAACCCGTAACAAGGAAAAGAAAAATGAAGAACGCCTAGATGAAGAAGAAGAAGCCTGTAGCTTTATAGACTTAGACCGAAACAACAACGACAGCAGACGAGGATCGCTTGAAAGGTACACAAAGAACAGCGAGGAATTTCGAAACGATTCCGACAGTAATAATTCTGCCAGGGAGAGTGATTCCAGTGCACAGACCTCTGGTTCAGAAACTTTAGATAAGGATCAGAAGAGCTGTATCGTGGATTCCCAACGGTTATTCTTCTCTGGTGAACGAGTGGCAGTTTTGAAGAAAATTAACTCCGATTCAAACAAAACAGATGAATTAAAACGAGATTTTGATCGAACAGGGTGAGTTATGTTTTATTATTGCTGGAGGATTTACGATAGAAAAATAAAAAAAAATTAAATGTTACTCTGTATCGTGTGAAGTGTTCATTCAGTTGTACATTGTTTTTTTTTTTTTATAAATGATTCGCTTCTTTTGCTGCTAAGCACAAAGCTACACAAAGAAATATCTGTGCTATGACCAATGCGAGGATCAAACACCGAATTTTAGCGTTATAAGCTTCGACCTTACCGCTGAGCAAGCGAGGAAAATAACTAATCAATGTACAAGTGCATTAATCCGTCGTCTCTACGCTTTTATGTCAATTAATTGAAATGTTTATAGTTTTATACCTGTTTGTGCTCTCTGTACAAGAAAACCTTAATTACTTGTTAGTTCGAGTTAATTTATAACCAAATAATCAGGTTAAGTTATAACCAAATAATCGAGGTTAAGTTACAAACAAGTTAATTTATAATCAAATAATCAGGTTAAGTTATAACCAAATAATCGAGGTTAAGTTACAAACAAGTTAAGTTATAACCAAATAATCGAGGTTAAGTTACAAACAAGTTAAGTTATAACCAAATAATCGAGGTTAAGTTATAATTCCAAAGCTACTACATGATTGTCTGTTGTGTCTATTTTGTTAGCTAGCTACAGTTCTATTGATCCAAGGTTTACTACAAATGTATCTTGCTTCCATTATTTGACTAATTTGTGTTATCTAGTTACAGTTTTATTGATCCATGATTTACTACAAATGTATCTTGCTTCCATTATTTGACTAGTTTGTGTTATCTAGTTACAGTTCTATTGATCCATGATTTACTACAAATGTATCTTGCTTCCATTATTTGACTAGTTTATGTTATCTAGTTACAGTTCTATTGATCCATGATTTACTACAAATGTATCTTGCTTCCATTATTTGACTAGTTTGTGTTATCTAGTTACAGTTCTATTGATCCATGATTTACTACAAATGTTTCTGTGGTTTCATTTTTCAACAGGACTGTGTTAGGCATTGATTTTTCAACTAGCCAACTGACTAAAACTTTATCAATGTGATAGCATGTGTATAAATATATAACTAAGCAGGTTTATGTTAGAAACATCTGGAAATATCTATCTACACAGTTACAGATAAATAAATCGATGACATCTACCAGCATAGTTACAGATAAATGAATCGATGACGTCTACCTGCATAGTTACAGATAAGTAAATCGATGACGTCTACCTGCATAGTTACAGATAAATGGATCCATGACATCTACCAGCATAGTTACAGATAAATGAATTGATGACATCTACCAGCATAGTTACAGATAAATGAATCGATGACATCTACCTGCATAGTTACAGATAAATGAATCGATGACATCTACCTGCATAGTTACAGATAAATGAATCGATGACATCTACTTGCATAGTTACAGATAAATAAATCGATGACATCTACCAGCATAGTTACAGATAAATGGATCCATGACATCTACTTGCATAGTTACAGATAAACGAATTGATGACATCTATCTACACAGTTACAGATAAATGAATCCATGACATCTACCAGCATAGTTACAGATAAGTAAATCGATGAGGTCTACCTGCATAGTTACAGATAAATGGATCCATGACATCTACCAGCATAGTTACAGATAAATGAATCCATGACATCTACCTGAATAGTTACAGATAAATAAATCGATGACGTCTACCTACATAGTTACAGATAAATGGATCCATGACATCTACCAGCATAGTTACAGATAAATGAATCGATGACATTATGTGAATAGTTACAGATAAATCAATCGATGACATCTTTGCACATAGTTACAGACAAATGAATCCATGACATCTGTGCACATAGTTACAGATAAATGATTCCATGACATCTTTGCACATAGTTACAGATAAATGATTCCATGACATCTTTGCACATAGTTATAGGTAAATGATTCCATGACATCTTTGCACATAGTTATAGGTAAATGATTCCATGACATCTTTGCACATAGTTATAGATAAATGAATTCATGACATCTACCTCTCAAAAGAAATTTCTCCAAGAATAAAAAAGTAAAATATTAAAATTATATTTCAGTATTTTATGCGATTTATAATTTGATACATAAAACATGTATGGAAAAAATTGAAATATATTTTTGATATTTTCTTTTCGATAAAATTTCCTTTAACAATCCCATATAGTATTTACTTTATTATTTCACCATACGTAATTTCCTTTATATTTCCTAATTTCCTTTCGGTGCATGATCAAATGATTAGGTCACTCCAATAGCAATTTATGGGTTGCAGAGTCGAAATCCCGTGCTGAACATGCTCGCCTTCTCAGCTGTGGGGGGCATTATAATATGCCAGTCAATCGCACTATTCATAGGTAAAGATTAGCACAAAAGTTGACGATAGGTACTGCAAGCAGGTTGCATTTCATGTGGTCAGTAATTCAAAATTAGGGGTGGCGGTAGGTAGCCTTAGTAGCTTTGCCATGAACAAAGAAACAGACTTTTACCTATCTGCCAGTTTACTGTTGTTATGCCCAAACATGTATTCTCAAATTTGTCTACGTTTGCATGAATCGACAGGTCTGTATCCAGCGACTCAGCCATGGGGCACAGTGAATGTGGTCATTCTGTTCGGCTTCAAGAATTAGAGGCTGATCTCATGTAAGTGTATATTTTTACTTGATTGTTTCGTAAGTTGTTCTAGATATGTTAATACATTTATTCATTAGTGAAAATAACCCACCATTCGTGAACCTATAGTAACTAGACTGTTCGTAATTCCTTTGGTTCATTCAATAACACTTAATAACTAGACTATTAACTGTATTTTCAACGGAAAGTGTATGGTTGTGAGCTTGTGCGTTGTCGCTCTTTTTTAATTTCTTTAAGTTGGTGTATTACAAAACCAATAGATTGTGTTAAATTCCAACACATTGACGGGCTCTTGGAAATAACTTTACTAATGTCTAAGTTTGAAAAATACTAGGCCTAATTTTCGGGCTGCAGACCGATAGGTCCGACGTTTAAAAACGTGGTTTCGCTTAACACTTTCTGTACTTTCTAGTTTTGGCGCGTTATGAAAGTTAAAGTCAATCTCTTGATTCGATTCAATGAATCACGCATGGTCCTTGTAGCGGCGAGTGTTGCTAACTGGTTATCCTCCCACTGGTCAGCAGTTCAAAATTAGAGATAACTATGACCTGAATCCTAAGAGTCTCTGATCTGACCGTTTAGTTCATTTGCATTAAAGGGGGGGCCGTTCAGGTTGGACTTGAAATTCTAATTCCAGTTAAAAAGCATTAATCAGGAGATTAGTTTTAAACATTTATCCTATTATCGAAAGTTCTATTTTTTGTATCGGATAAAACCAATTTAGTGAAAAATAATTCTTCGCCGTTATTGGCAAGTCTATTGCACGACTTATTTAGTCAAGGGTTTGGAAAATTGAATTCCAAAAATTAACGGAACTGTAGATCTTGTCTCAAAGCATTGGGTATTCTCGTCTAATCGAACTTATTTTTCATTTCATTTTTTTTTTAATGAAAACGACTGAGGATATAATGTTTGTTTTGAACGTGTAAAAATTGTAGATCAAACATACATTAATCCAGTGCATGTACCTAAGCCTAGAAATTGCTGTTATTTGAAGGAGTGGTACATCAAAAGTTAGAGATAACAGATGTCAGATTTATTGATAATTGATATAGATAATATATTCAGTAAAAAACAACAACATGTATTTAAAGATGTTCTTCTAATAATGCACATCGTGGCTAGTTATTTTATGTAATTGATTAAACAAGTAGGCTTACTGGATTAATGTTTTATTTTGTTTGTAATTCACGCTTAAAGTTGTAAACAAAAATACTGATTAAAAGCCTTAGACAAGCATGCGTACTACATACAAACACTATGAACAATCTTATTGGTTGATTTTCAGATGTATTACGATAATTTCGATAGCTTCAGAATAGGTGTTTTTAGAAGATAGATTTCTTCAAATTTGTTGTTTGACCCAATGATCAATAAGTTATTATAAATATCTCAGTATTCATGCTTGATTTATTACCCTTTAGGACGACGAAATGTGAGCTCGCTAAGGCCTTAAATAGGGAAGCTGGGTGTAAAAGCACAGTATCAGAAAAGGATCTACTGATCAGGGATTTACACGATCGTATTCGAGAACTTGAGCACAAAGAAGACGAACTATGGTACGAAAGTCAAATGTTTGTCGTTTTAATTGAAGACAATGAACAAGAATAGCTTGTAGAGAGTTGGGTAATGGTTCTAATTCTAAGAACCCATGAATGATGTAATAATATGTAAACCACACTGCACTTGCCATATCCAGTGCTGAAGTGGGTTTTCGCCCAGCACCAGGACCTTAGGCGTACGAGGCGGGGGGGGGGGGGCGGTAGCGTCCTAACTTCCAATACCCATTAAATGGGCAGATTTTCGGTTTTCATTCAGACAAAATTAGAAGCAGAAAATATAACCTCCTAACCTCATTTGGGCAAAAATTGTGCAGCCCCTTCCCCCTGAAAAATTCCCCATACACCTATGACCCAGACTCACCAGGCCTGCTAGGATACAACAGATATAGTAGTGGTCAGGTATCACGTGTATTTTTAAAATTATAAACGTAAACATTTTTGGATAAGCCTAATACCAAAAAAAAACAAAAAAACTTAACACTAAAAGTTCAAACTGAGGGTAAAAGGTAGTTGTTAGCTGAAACGATATCATTTAAAACTAATCTTGTTCATATAAATAATTTTTATAGGAACCATTGTAACAAAGCGTCCCATAGATTTCATAATCAGTTTGAAGTAAATATCTTATGCTCGTTTCCAAAACTAATGTTAGAACGGATATTTCTTTGTCTGTCTATTTTGTGTTTTGTCTCTTAGATTTAAGATCAAATCAATCTTTTGAAACTTTATGAAAAACGTGACTCGCTTCTTGAAATAGTTTCGTTTTTCAATGAAACACTACTCAACTCAGTGGTAACTCTAAAATTCAGGATTCAATCTCTGCAGTTGGCACAGCACAGATAGCACATTTGTGAAGTTTTGTGTTTAAGATGAAATAAGTAAACATTTTCAAAACTTTACAAGCAAAAACTTATTTTAAATCAAAAGACTAAAGTAATCTGGTTTCGAAATTTCGCGCAAAGTTGCTCGAGGGCTATTTACGCTAGCCGTCTCTAATAAGAAAGCGATAGGCTAGAGAGAAGGCAGCTGGTTTACACCACCCACCGCCAACGAAATGTGAGATTGACCATCACATTATAACGCCCTCAAGGCTGAAAGGACGAGCATGTTCGGTGATGGGATTCGAATTCGTAGCCTGCAGATTGCGAGTCGAGCACCCTAACCACCAGATCAAAATCTAAGGTGAAAAATCAAATTTTATGCTTATAGATCTTTCGAACCAATATATGCGTGGATGATGGGTGGTAGGAAGCTGGTGATTGGTTGCCATCCCTCTGGTCGGTTGTTTAGAATTATGGACAGAGGAAAGAAGCCTTAGTAGCTGGGCTATAAACACAAAATAGAAATAACTTCCTCCAAAGTTCTATATTTTAGGCCACATTGTTCTTTTTTAATACCTAGTAATGAAATATTAGGCTGTGTATTTACAGTTATTCTCTTTTAAACCTATAAAGACGTTATTAATATATATGTATAGGCATTCGTCTAATCAAAGATCCACCAGCGCTCAGAGGTTCCAGGAAAAGTGTCGAATTCTTCAAAACCTCAACCGTTTTCTGAACGAAGAAGTCATGAAGTTGTCTCACCTTCTGAATGAAGAACGAAATCATAGTGAGAGGCAACATCTGTAAGTAATAATACTATATGTGCCATAGTTAGGTAAGAGGCAACATCTCTAAGTAATAATCCTATATCTGACCTAGTTAGGTAAGAGGCAACATCTGTAAGTAATAATCCTGTATGTGCCATAGTTAGGTAAGAGGCAACATCTCTAAGTAATAATACTATATGTGCTCTAGTTAGGTAAGATGCAACATCTGTAAGTAATAATCCTGTATGTGCCATAGTTAGGTAAGAGGCAACATCTGTAAGTAATAATCTTGTATGTGCCATAGTTAGGTAAGAGGCAACATCTGTAAGTAATAATCTTGTATGTGCCATAGTTAGGTAAGAGGCAACATCTGTAAGTAATAATACTATATGTGCCATAGTTAGGTAAGAGGCAACATCTCTAAGTAATAATCCTATATCTGACCTAGTTAGGTAAGAGGCAACATCTGTAAGTAATAATCCTGTATGTGCCATAGTTAGCTACAGAAAGTGTACCTTATTTGAATGTATCTGCAAAGGAAACCCACCACAATGAAACAATAATCCTATGTTTATAGAGAAACAGTGCCATATTTAGAGTACGGGAAGTGTATATTTTATCCAAATGTTTAATTTACAGCTGTATTACGGTTTCTAATACGAAAACTTTCTCCTTGTTATAGTGAACACCTCTAGATCGTTTGCTTTCTCTATATATATATATTGTTAAACTTGTTATTAGTCATATAATTTTAAGTGCATGTTTTTATCTTAGCTTTGGGTATGGATATCGCGTGTATATTGTACAAAATGTAAACGTTGTTAGTTAACACGGAGTGTTGGTTGAATATAACCGGATATATTTTCAAAATGTTGAAATTACGTAGAACCATTATAATAATTATTTACAGTGATATCTTAGTGAAGTAATGCCGTCATTAAACACGATATAACCGTTTTAACACTGTTTTGTGGTTATCAAGAACAAACTTGAGATAAATTAAACAACAGTGTGTAAAAACAGTAAAAATCATTAATGGTGATAGGCACTGAAAACAATTCACACAACTAGGCGTAAGGTCACTGATGGTTATATATATATATATATAAAACAATTCAACAACTAGGCGTAAGGTCACTGATGGTTATATATATATATATATATAAAACAATTCAGACAACTAGGCTAAAGAAAGCGTTGCAACAGATGTTGTTCCGTTGCTAGGATTGTATGTAACAGGTGAAATCTAATCAAATATTTATATTCTCTCTTTAGGAATCTGATTGAGTTGCAGGAAGAGATTGAACAGTTCGAGAGAGATTACGTCTTCCTTCTTCAGTCGTCCATTAGATTCACATTTCGAGATGGTTGCGAAATGATGGAAGTTTATCAATACGGTGAGGACAGGGTAAGTAGACTTAAACTGACCACAATTTCAAAATCTCACCAACGTTTTAAACACCAGATTATCTCACAATATTATAATCTCACCGACGTTTTAAACACCAGATTATCTCACAATATTATAATTTCACCAACGTTTTAAACACCAGATTATCTCACAATATTATAATTTCACCAACGTTTTAAACACCAGATTATCTCACAATATTATAATCTCATCAACATTTTAAACATCAGACTATCTCACAATATTATAATCTCACCAACGTTTTAAACATCAGATTATCTCACAATATTATAATCTCACCAACGTTTTAAACACCAGATTATCTCACAATATTATAATCTCATCAACGTTTTAAACATCAGATTATCTCACAATATTATAATCTCACCAACTTTAAAACACCGAGATATCTCACAATATTGTGATCTGACCAACGTTTGAAACATAGAATATGACACTTTCACCTGGTCACTACCTACTTGGTATCCCGATGGGTCAACGGGTACTTAACATCCACCAATTATCAAAATGGAACAATAAGAGCTTAGGGTAATTTCACTAACAAACTATATGAATGCAATAAAATTTTATTAAGAAAAGAAACCTTTAACAGATTAAATTTCTGGGTCCGTGGTTAAAAACTCAAATTTCTGTGAAAATCCTATACCAGTGGCACAGCGGTATGTCTGCGGACTTACAACGCTAGTATCCGGGTTTCGATACCCGTGTTGGGCAGAGCACGGATAGCCCATTGTGTAATGCTTAATTACAAACAAACAAACCTATTCCAGGTTATAATGTTAACAACTGCCTATTTAAACGAATAATGAGAAGTTAGTTAACTATTTTTAATCCCTGTATTCTATGTAATGAACTAAGCCTATTTATAACATTTTATTTTTGACGTAAAGAAACTGGACGAGAAGCATGGAACAAGCAGTTCATCTTGACATTGTGCTCTCCGCCTGTCACATAATCGTTCGTGTCAGATGAAAGTAGGACGTTTTGTAAAGTTCAAAATGTCACGGCTATCGAAATACCCCCTGCGAATTTCAGCATCTGATGATGACAGATGACAAAAATTACATCGTTGAAAATGTCAAAAAGGGGGAATAAAAGAAATGTGCGGTAGATTGAGTCTTAGGAACAAAAGGTCTCATATTTTCCAGTTTTATATACCGCAATACGTCATTTGTTCATATTACTACCCTAACAGAATTAAAATTGAACAACGAGTGAGTTTGCCTTTTATCATATTGCTTGTGTTTTAGACACATTGTATAATTAAGCCATTCTTGATTGTTGATCAGTTCTTATCATGTAATGATCGGGAGTGGCCCAGCGGTGAGCATGCCCAGAACTATGAATTTAAATATTCATGGTCCGTTCATCCAGTTTCTGCATAGTCGCGCTACGGTGACGGTCAAATCCCGCCGTCTAGCGGTACTGTTCAAAACCAGGGACGGCTATTTGCAGATAACCTTTTCTGTACCTTTGCGGAAAAATTTTAACGTAAGTTTATTCTATAAAACAAAATATAAGTGAATTATATGTTTACATTACCGCCAGTCTCCTAGTGTGTAAGCGGTAAATTTACAGACTTATGACGCTAAAATCAAGGGTTCGATTCCCCTCGGTGGACAGAGCGCAAATAGTCCATTAAGTAGCTTAGCGATAAATAAACAGTAGCAATCTTGCTACTAAGTTACAAAGCGCCACCCAGCGTGGTAATGGGAAAACGATATCAATCTAAACTAAACTGTAATATTTGTTTATTTGCTAGGACCTATATATCTCAGCCACTCAGTAATAAGGTTTAATTTCAACAATATCTTTACGAAATGATAATTTCAAACAAAACTTTCTAATATTGACTGACTGTGTGATGTTCTTGAAGAATTAATCAGTCCTATTTGTAAAGAATGTCACTAGTTTCCTGGTTCCCGAAAATATTCTTTAGGATACCCCTCCCCACTTCAAAATCTAAATGTGATTAATAAGTGTGGTGAAAGATTCCGCTGTGTTTAAGAAAAGAGGCGGAGAGTGGAAATAAGGTGATTTTATAGCAGGCTTAATGTAATGGTTCATCACATCCATTTTATAGTAGGCTTAGCTTAATTATAATTCAACATACAGTGCAACGAGTAATTTTTGAGTTCGAAAAATAAAATTAAAAAAAAACAACAACAACAACATGACACTTAACGATAGAGCGTTAAATAGAACGTCTAGGAATAGAGATTTCTCTGAAAAATCTTTTTTTGGTGCTGCCCTCTTTTTACAGTTGATGGATGATGAGAAATAAAACATTTGTTTTCTGTATGATTAAAAATATTTAGTAAAATTTTATATAAAAATTAAATGGAGTTTAGAAGGAGAATTTTTATGGTTATTAGCTTTTTTGTTGTATTTTTTAATTTTTCTTTAAAAAACTTTGTAAATACGACAAAAGTAAACACTGACAACTTAGCTATTGTTGTTTTCTTTTTCAGCACAAAGCGAAAGTTTTATCCTTACTAGAGAAGGCTAGGAAACTCAACCCATCCCTTCCCGCCTACGATGGGTAGGTTTATTGTGTTATATTGACGATTTCAAAAGCTCTATTACTTAATTTTTAAACATTTTCTATATAAATTGCGGTCACTCGGACGAGTTCCTGTAAGCTTTCGCATGCAGAAATTGAGTAGGTTATATTAAAACAGTTTCGGAGCTTCAACACGTCGTTACAGTCCATGTTGCTATGTCTGATCATACTCTATCTGACAACCTTGTATTTTGATAATAGCCCTGAAACGTGGTTTTCACTCAAAAGGCTCCAAAACGCACCACTCCACCATGCATACTTTCCATGATCCATATAGTGTACGATAACGAAGGTTTCCCAACGAACGTTTAAATAATTCGATCACACAGTAATTCATAAACTTTGTGTGCAGCGAGTTGATCATTATGTCTCCTATGAAACAGTTTATACCTATTTCATTCTCAAACTACATAAGATACGTGACGATTGAACGGCAGGTATGAGGAATATTTATATTGGTGAGCACATATCCCCTTGACTTCGTTTCCGTACAAAGCTAATAATTCTATATTAACAAAGGGCCCATAACGTTGGTATAATAGTCAGCAAAGTTCACCTTGGCCTTTGAATCCACTTTTATAATCACTAACTTACCCTTGGCACTGACTGTATCCAGTGACAATCACGAATTTTTTCACCCATTGACCAGCAGGAAATGGCACGAGACTTATTATAGCTATCAAGGAAACATATGCTCCGTCGATTGTCACCAACAGTACCATTTTCCCCCGCTAGGTACAGTTCCGACAGTTGGTCTTCCTTTCCTGGATATGCCATACGAACAACTTGGACACACCTAACTTCTACCACTTTCCCAGACGGAAATCTTTCTTGGTGATGTTGTGAACGTTGCCTGGGGCACATGGATGGCTTTTACCACTGACCTTTGTGTTCGTGAGTCCTCGCCTGTTACAAGACACCGTGATTTGCTTACTATGACTAGGGTGCGACTTGTTACAGGTCTCTTTCTGTATAGTCGTGACACTCCAAGTTGATTCAAATTTATTTTTTCACTTTACATACCTTTTCCAAAAATAACCAATTTTCAATGACATCAAATTACCTACCAGTCGCTGAAATATTGTCAAAATGTAGTCCTAATACATTTCTTTTGTGTTAATATAACGTATACAACCCTTTGTATGAGTATCTGGAAGTACCCGTGGTGGACAGAGCACAGATAGCCCATTGTGTTGATTTGTGTTTCGTTTCAAACAAACAAATATGTGGAAGATTCCTTTTATAAATTACGGTTATTCTAAAAAAAATTACTATCATATTTCATATGTAAATTACAGTAACTCTAATGAGTTGCTGGAAGACTTTACAGGTAAATTACAGTTACTCTAATGAGTTGCTGGAAGACTTTACAGGTAAATTACAGTTACTCTAATGAGTTGCTGGAAGACTTTACAGGTAAATT